ATCCATAGACAAATTATCTTGTTTTAAATATTATGAAGATCAACCCAAGATTTAGTATATGACTGTGGCAAAACGTTTGAACTTTCACAAATATACTGATTATAATCATATTTCTTGTCAAATGAGCGATCTTGAATAGATGTAATTCACTTAAATAGGATATATACGCAATTTTCAAGTTCTGCCGAATTGCATAGAAAATATTGAAAATATTTATCTCTGAAGAAATATACATATTTGTGCATAAACTAAACAACATACAAAATAAGAACAAATCTATAGACTACTGAATAGTACTTATGAGAATAATAAGTTAGAGATAAAAAAAGATAGTCGAAAAAATACTCTATAATGATTAAATCAAAAACTTATGACCGAAAATAAAGACTATGAACTTTTAAAACAATTACGTGCATAAGAACGAAACAATTATGATTGAAGTACATTATATATAACAAAACTTAAGTAAAAATAAGGTCATACAATAAGAGAGGGTAAGAATTTAGATGACTAAAGGAAATATTCATAATATGAAGTAAGTACAGTTTGAAGAATATATCAAGTAATACTTTACTACCTATATATTACTATAGCTACTTCTGTCGACTATGTTTTTAACCAACTTTCAATAATACTGAATGTTTCTTATTGACTTTCCTAATGTAATTTGCAAGTAAACTTTAAATACAATTTCTAATAGGCTCTCAATTATTTATATACAGTGACTGATTTTGACGTAAAATAAAACTGATCTATTTACAAAACTGTGACAAAAAGACAGTCACATATCTAAGAACTTCTGTAAAGTTATCCGTTTGTGTAATAGAAAACCTATAAATATTTGGATAAAAGGTATAAAAGGTATCGCTTTTAGAGAACACTTTATCGCTAAAACGTAAACTTATACTATTAATAAACAATAATATAACAAAACAACTGGTTTTCAATATGTAAGATTTGCTAATGACAACAGAAAACGATACATTAAAATGCAGATTCTCTACCATCATCCATAACTTTATTTTAATATCGGATTGCTTGTTAAACAACTGAGACAAACAACGAAATATATTTTAACACTTGTAAATAAGAAACCTACTTTGAAAGCCTTGACTCAATCAGAAATTTTATAAAACAGGGAGATATTCAGGACATGTTTGATGTCATCAACCAATAATCTACGTTTTATGCAGTTTACATTAAGACATCAATAATGTATCGTTTTCAACTTTAACCTTATTTTAGTAATAGTTTTGTTGAGACTCTTATTGGTTTTACCTAAATTATCGTGACCAATATCAAGTCAGTCTCTGTATAGCAATCCATTTTTGAACGTTCTTAACTCTGAAGACCTTACAATTTAAGTTATACAATATGAACTATGGTATCAAAATAATTGTATACCTGTTACTACAATGTCTAGTTTCAGATTTAATAAACTTTCACTTATGACTGCTTGTGGCATACATAGTTTCTACTTACTACTTTCTAATATATTTCATATTCTAGTCATAAATTTAATTCGTAAAATTTACAGAATTTATTCTGTATTTATGGCCATATAGCCAGCTAATTTCTTTTCATTAATCAACTTTTCTTCTATGCAAATTTATACTAATCATTTGGCTGTATGATTTATTTCATAGATTTTCTATATGTCTAATTTTCTTTTTTTACTTTCAGTCCACCATAAATATTTCGAATATTTCCCCAGTATCAGTTATATTATATACAACTTTATTCATAAGTCAATCTAACATTAGAGCACTTTCTTCAACCTATTTTATAAATTCATAATTATAAACTATTTTTCTTCATTAAATCAATTGATTCATGAATTCAACTATAAAATTACTAAAATCTCCACAGAAACTCTTCTGACAATAATAATCATATGCTCAATAGTGACCGGCTTTAAAAAGTATTCTCTGGAGTTCTAGTGAGAAACAGTGGTCAGTTGAGTTAAACCGGGTCTGTTATGAGATAGTAACTCACTAATAACAATAATGTATGTTTCGCTCAACTGCATGGATTAGTTGAAGTTATACATCGACACCTTTGGATGCCGGCCGGCTTAGTGGTCTAGAGATTGAGCGTTTGCGCGCGAGACTGATAGGTCTTGCGTTTGAATCTCGCGAGGCGGAATCGTGGATGCGAACTACTGAGGGTTTCCACAGTAGCACGAAACGGCTGTCTAGTGCTTCCAGGTTTTCCATGGTGGTCTAGCTTCAATGGGTTCATGACTTTGACTATTAATCATAATTAGCTAATCAATTAAATAACATTTAAATATGCTACTGTAGAATCTAGTTAAGATTTATATAAAACAAATGTTCTCTATTTTTTTATAGTTTTCACTATGATAAAAATCTTTGAACATTTAATAAATCAATTTTTAATTTAAATGAATAAAATATGATTTATAAAGCTAATTTTGACTAGATATCGTTTTAGAAGATCAAAATAACAGTGGCTACTTTTAACAAAAGCGGAATTAATATATATATATATATGACGACAAAACACTCAAATTCTTAGTAAATGATACTTGAAATGTGACTTTCGAAGAGTTTCATTAAATTTTTTAAACATTCTATAAAAACATAATTATTGATAAAGATTACCAAATATGTTGAGTAAATGTCACTCATGAATAAAGGATAAATATGATAGAAGAAACATGCGTCCAAACAAATAATTCAGGCTATTAGTGATAATGTTTACTAAATAACCTAAAATTGTTGTTTATACCATTACCACAGCTAGAGATTAAACTTGGTTAAAAAAACGCGATTATGATAAGTATAGACAGCAAAAACACTTTAATACTTGAAATAGTGATCAAACTAGATTATTACAGTGTATTTTTAATGGTATATGTCAACATTACATCGAGCTGATGAATCACAAGTAGGGTCAAAATCGTTTAGTAGACTCCGTTCTTAAACATAAACCAACTTTATTACGTTGTTACGTTTATAATACCTATTCGTTTTATTACATTTATGTATAGTTACTTATTTGTATCTTAAACAGATATCCAATTTTATCACAGTCCATTCTTTCTAATGGGATATTTTTTATTAAAACCATTTGAATTCGAATAGAGCATATATTTCTATATTTTTCCTCAAATTGCTTGAAGAAACATCAAGAAAAATAATAATGTTAGGTGAGAGATTCACTCAGTCACTAATGCGTAAAATATTGTACATGTTAATACAGTAGTTACAATACCATAGTATGTACAAAGACAGATGATCAAATAAATAGCTTAACTTATTTTCGAAATCCATTTAATGACTGTGTCATAGACATAATAAGTATTTACACTTATCGGGTTACATAGCTAAAAAAACAATTGCTAGTAACCGATAATGACTTTATGTAATCCGAAATTGTGTTACGCCTTTTCTATTTCTCTTCAGATTTTTATTTCGAAATCAAGAATCAGATATTTATTTTTAGCGGCTCTTAATCTGACTCCATTTAGATCGTATAATTGATTGTTATTGAAATATACATATTGCCAACTCTTTCATATAATTATTGACTTAAATAGTGTTGGTAAATAAAGGAATCAATCAACTCAAATACAAGGATAGACTTCTGGATATGTAAATTTCGTACAATCGTTGATCGGAAACCGAAGCAAAACGAAATGATGCACAATAGAGTTCGCTCACTCTATCTCTCCAGTGCACGTCATTTTGTTGTGTTTTAGTTTCCGACCAACAATTGTACGATATACACGTATTCAGAAACCCATTCTCGTATTTGACTTCTTTAATTCCGTTATTCGCCAACGCGAATTAAGTAGGTGATAGTATACAAGGGAAGCTAGCATATATATATTTCAACAACAATCATTCCATAACGATCATTCGTCCGATGTATCCGTAGTCAGATATGGAGTCACTAAATTTCAAGTAATAGAAGAGTTCAAAATAATTTATTTATTCACTAAAAATATTGCATTTCATAACTACAGTTAAATTACTGTTTTGAATATTTAATCTTATATATGTTTATTGAACATTTCTTCTAGTCACTCATTATTGATGGTCAAGTGTAATATATAAATACTGTTTTAAACAATTAGAAACTTCTGTTTACTATCTTTAGAATTACCTTATTTATTGATGCTCAGTAATTAATTACACATGAGATAACTAATAAAATGTGTTTTTTCTAACAACCGAAACAATTTTATGTGCTAAGTATCAATGCATTTATTAGGAGAAGTGAATGATTTCATCATCATCATCATCATCATCATCATCATCATCATCATCATCATCATCATCATCATCATCATCATCATCATCATCATCATCATCATCATCATCATCATCATCATCATCATCATCATCATCATCATCATCATCATCATCATCATCATCATCATCATCATCATAGGTAATAAGCATTACGATAAATTTTAATTTGATTTATTACAACTGTATATAAATTGAATTATCTAATATAAGCGGTGATATTTTAAACTGACATCTTAATCAATTGGATAATGTCAAGTCTGAAGACTGAACAAAATCGTAGATTTCAGAACACTCTTTTGTACATGAATTAAAAGTTTTGTCAAATTATATGACATTACAATTGCACATTACTCAACTGATTACCATAAATCTATTCAGTAGACAGATGTATAGCAAATCTGTTCCTAATATTAGTTTTTTTTAACAAATTGTTAGCCTAATGAAAGTAACAAAATTAATGAAACGAGTTATTCCTGATAGAGGAAGAAATAGATAAGATAGAATTAATGTGATAACAAAATACCAATAATCGACTAATGTCATAAACATATCATTGATTCATATAAGAAGACATAGAAAACACGAAGAATGACACAATGATAAAGTTACATGATTGCCTTTTAATATACTAACCACTTTTATTAAACGTCAAGGTTTCTTACACTTTCTATGAATGATCTCATCATTAACATACAAAATTAGCTAATAAATAACACTTACTTGAATAAGATCACTGGTGCTGAATTTCTTCCAGAATATTTTAGAAATTAAGAACTCAGAGTATAAATGTGATACTTTTTTATTGTAAAACAATAGGAAGTCTTATTATATAACACTTCTAGAAATATAAAGTATCGGGATTGGTTATTTTCATGAATAAGGAATATATAAAAAAAACATACATTTCAGATATTTTACTGAAATTTCAACCAATGAAAAGAACACCAATTCCTGTATCTCATTAAGATTTCTTCTTTATAGACAGTAATAGTTTGTCGCAAAATAAAACTTATTTTCTTTATTTATACATGCTTTTAATCAGTTCATACAGTTCACCCATTACATACTTTTGCCAATATATTAGAATATATCGTTAAAGTGTTCAAACGATCTGAAGCAATTTTTATCGTTCATTTAATAATATCTAGATGTAAAACAATTTGGGATTGAGTAAGAATAACTCTTTTTTTAGGTACTGTTTATGATAAACTGATAAGGTTTCAACTTCGATTTACAGAAGTTACATTCAAAACAATAACAATGCCTTATCTGTGATGTTGGTTTTTATCAACGATTATTATAGAAGCTTCGCGACCTTTGAAGACAAGTCATAAACAACTGGTCTGTTCTAGTTTAAAATCTCTAAGCAGTTTATCTTAAAGATATCACGGGTGAAAATACGTGCTTAGGTTTTATGATATGCTCAATGGACTGCAACTCAATAATCCACACTTAAAAATTCAAATATTTAGTAATATATAGAGTGATATGTATTCACAATCATTGAAAGCTGATGTCTCACTTCTAGAAAGTTTGTAAGATAAAAAAAATTCTGATCGATAGTTTTACTGGGTTCATTGTTTCAGCTTACCATAAATTATGCAAAACATTTGTACTTCAACCACTGTCAGTCAAGATCAATACTACAAACTATGTGGTATATTAAGTCTGTTATTTAACCATAAACTGTTGCAGATATTGTACTGTTTGCAAGATATTTCTGTCAGAATTATGATTACTAGGTTGAATGTTTACACAAATTATTTGGTTACAAGTTAATTCTCATGACCTGTCGATATGTACTAGAACTGTGTACAAGCAAAATCAAGTAATCATATTATCAAAATAGACAGATTACGTTAAAATGAAATTACAAAGTTAAATCGAGCAAAATTCAAATTTTAGTGAAACCCGTTAGTTAATAAATACAATATCATGGTATAATAAAAAGCCGTATTAACATGTTCCATACACAAATATCGGCTTATTGATGTGTATACCTATGACTTCTACGGTCTATGAAAGACGGATTCTGGAAACATAGACCAAGCTCGACAAAACTCTATACATAACCTGAGAATTCATATTCAAATCCATATTGTGACTAGTGTCTACTAAATCAGCCAGAACGAAACTTCCTGCTGTTTCCTTTAGATCAACTAAAAAGGCTGATGTTCAGAAATAGGATGACATATTTACTTGGTTATGCACACAACATAACTGACTCCACAAGTTCAGTTGAACTGATAAAGATGCCTAGACACCTCGGGATCAGACAGTTCATATTTATTTCGTAAACTCACCGTTGGCTGGCTGGAGAAAATTGACATAATCGTGTTGCATTCAATGTTCCTTTAGCGGCCTTCCTTAAGCGCTGCACTATTATCTGGCTGGCTGTACCAAAACTAAAATGTAACTTCGAGAACAAAGATGTCTTTAGTTCTTTCAGTGATTCAATTTGACTTTTGTCATAAACTTTGGTGAATATCTGTTTTCTCCCAGCAGATCATGAATGTATTTTAGTTCATCTTCAGCGTTGTCACAGCAAATAGTTTTACCTCTATGGACTAAGTACTTAACTCATGTTCCTTTACATTGTAACGAAAGAAAATGTGTTTTATGTAATAATTGTTATACTTTGTAGAAAGCGTCTCATCTATATGAGGAAATTCACTTGCGTGTTACGATTTTTTCTATATCGTATACACATATCACTACTGAAAGTTGAAAAAATTCTTTGACGTCACGAAGCTAAGTAATATTGTAACTTTTAATTTCGGACAGCGTTTGATGTATTAAATGTTACTAGAAACGTACATATTGGAATAAACCAATAAATCATCATATTTATTGATAATCTATACTTACTTACTTACGCCTGTTACCCTCGTCGAAGAGCATAAGCCTCTCACTAACATTCTCCATCCAACTCTGTCCTCGACATTTTAAATTCTTTCCAGTTTCTATTTATCCTGTTGATGTCTGCTTCCAATTCTTGGCTTAACGTATTCTTTCGTCTTCCTCTTTTCCGCTTTCCTTCAGCATTCCAAATTAGCACTTGCTTTGTGATGCAGACTGATGGTTTCCTCAATATGTGTCCTATTCACTTCCAACGTCTCTTCCCAATTTCCCCTTTAGCTGGAAGCTGGTTTATTCCCTCCCACAAAAGGCTGTTGCTGATGGTATCCGGCCAATGGATGTTGAGTATCTTGCGTAGACAATTATTTATAAATAATTGTACCTTTTTGATTATGGTTGTGGTAGTTCTCTTAGTTTCATTTCCATACAGTAGAAATGTCTTGACGTTTGTATTGAAAATTGTGCCTCTGATATTGATTGGCAGTTGTTTTGAGTTCCATATGCTGTTCAATTGTAGAAATGCTGTCCTTACTTTGTTAATCTTCACTTTTACGTCTACATCTGATCCTCCTTGTTCATCGATGATGCTACCTAGATACGCGAAAATTTCTACCTCTTCCAAATTCTCTCCAGCAAATATAATTGAGTTGGTGTTCTCTGTGTTGTATTTGAGAATCTTGGTTTTTTTCATTTGTGTTATTGAAAAAGAAAATCACTGGTATAATGGAAGATAAAATAAAAAACTTTCATTATCATAAAAACAAATCTTTCTTTAATGTAAGTAAAGATGGCTAAACGTTAAATAATGGTATACTATTATGAAAAGATTCATAACATACAAATTTTCGATTATTATAATCATTCATTATGTATAAAACTTAATTAAAAGCTATCCTATTGACTTAGTAATAACGACTAACGTATAACTAACTATTTAGAGAATTTTAAAAAAAGAATATTTTTAAGCGAACGATTGTTTTTGAATAACTTCATTATCAAGCTTTACAATTATAAGTTCATAATTACTTTGATATTTTATAAAAGACAAAATAAATCATTCATTAATGAATTCAGCAATGTCATATGTTAGAAATGGTGAATGTTTGTATCTGTTACGACATAAATATAGGAAATTATATATGTATTAAAGTCTATCAATGGCTTGCATTGACTTGAATGAAATAGTACTGTTATTATTTCTTTTTAATTGAAATAAATCATTTAAACAATATACAACTGAATGTTGTTCAACGATCTGTTACTTTGTTGAATTGGGGTACTTGTTTTCTATTAGCTAATATGAATTATTGTCTAAATAATAAAACAACTCTATCAATGAAGTATGAAATAAATCAACGAAAATTATATTATTAGTGAAACAATAAAAAGTTTTCAGGTTATTTTTGAAGGCCCTATGTTCGAATCCTGCGAGCGGGATCGTGAATGCGCACAGCTGAGGAGTCCCACGATAGGATGAAACGGCCGTCCAGTTCTTCCAGGTTTTCAATGGTGGTCTAACATCAATCGGTTCATGATCTCAATCAAAAAATATTTCTGTCTTAGTCTTAAATGTTTATTCAGTTTATAAAATTTATTAATTGACAAGTTGAAAATTGTACTTTTGATGGACAATTCTATGTTCACTTATAAATTATTAATTGATGTTACTGATTGTACTTCAATGGGAATATCATAGTTGTTATTAGTTGTGTTGATCATATATATGAAGTGTATGTCGATTAGATTAACTAAGAATTATTATAGTAATTTTAATAATTGGGATCATGAGTCAATTAAAGCCAGACCACTATGGAAAACTTGGAAGCACTGGACGGCCGTTTCATCCTTTTGTGGGAATCTTCAAAAATGCGCATCCACAATTCCGTCTCTCGAGATTCTAACTTCAAATAACCCATGAAATTGAGCAACACATCCATTACTGTCTTTAATGAGTTACTATCTCACAACAAACCCGGTTAAACTCGACTGATCACTGCTTCTCACTAGAACTCCAGGAAATACTTCTTGAAGCCAGTCGTTAGTGAGCATTTGTTGATTAGTACCAGAAGGGGTCGGGATTATGCAAGCGGGATCGTGGATGCGCACTGCTGAGGAGTCCCATAGTTGAACAGCCGTCCAGTGCTTCTAGGTTTTTCATTGTGATTTAGCTTCAATTGACTCATGATTTCATCTACTGAAGTCACTATAATATCCACAAAACCCCTTCGGATACTAATTATTATATAGTAAACAGTTTATAAGAGATGTTCCATTCTTTAAGCCAGTTAATTAAATGCCAAAACTTCACTGCCGTTCTGTAAAAAATCACTAAGCATTATTTAATCATGCGTTAATCAGAATAGAATGTATTTCAAATTAATAAGCTTAGAAATATGGGGAACCGCAAAAAAATACATATTTTTTCCATTATTTCTAAAACAATTTACTCAAATGATTTGAATGAATAGGTTGTCTAAATGTTATGGGATGCCATACTATGTACGTTTGTTGTTCGTGAAATAATACTACTGATATGTTTCCTATAAAGTAACATGGTTGAAGTGAACGTAGTGACATTGAGCAATTACATAAAAAACTCCCTTCATATTTGTAAAACATCAGCTTTCATCTAACGAAACGTGTACTGTACATAAAAAATTGATCATTTTCTTACTAATATAGACGTCTGTAGTGCTATTATTAATTATTCATATTATTTAACTATGTCCATAGAAGTGACCAGCTATGACGACATTTACTCATTTGCATTTACATATTTATCTCATGATCGCCCATGATAACAATTTCGTTGATTTTATCAAGGTGAATAATCTGAAGTTATACTGGTCGGATTTGGCTTTCATCATCTAAGTCAGCATGATGCACTACGATTACACGATCCCTACAACAGTATACTCTGATTAGTTTCCAT